CATTGTGTTTGCAGCCGGCGCAGTGGTGGGGAGGTGGCTGGGCTTGGATTGATCCCTTTATCATCAGCTCTGAGTGCTGATAAGGTGACATCACCCGCCAGAGCGGGGACTTGAACCTTTTTGCAAGGAGATTGTTATCAGTGGACTCTGGCAGGGCTGCGTTCATGCTTCAGCCAGCAGCTGAAAGCAGGGCCACCCCGTGAGTCTTTGACACAATAGGAAGGGTTTGTTTTGCCTCACACAATGGCTGCTCAGATCCTGTCCCACAATGCTGCAGAGCGGCACGAGGAAGCCTCACAGCACATCAAAGGCATGACTTCTCCACCAGGGACTGAGGTCCCTGTAGGCATGAAGCACCCACTGAGAGATGAGTGCCATTCCCAGCCTTGGGTCTGCTCTCTCTGGTCTCTGAATCAATTCCTTCTTTTGGCCCTTCTTCATTGTGGCAGCGCCCATACTCCCGCTGTGCTGCACTCACCACCCACCACCACACTGGCTATGGTGCTCACTACGGTGCCCCTACCTTCACTGCAAGCTGCTCCACTGCGTGGGGATGTTCCTGCACAGCCCCCAGTTCAAGTGAGGATGAGGGAGCTGTGCACAAAGTACAGAATCATTAAGGTTGGAAAAGAGCTCGAGGATGAAGTCCAACCATCAACCCTTGTCCCTCGGTGCCACATGTCCGTGGTACTTGGACACTTCCATGGATGGTGACCCCACCACCTCTCTGGGCAGCCTGTGCCAGTGCACCACCAGTCTTTCCAAGAAGAAATTTTTCCTAATATCCAACCTAAAACAAGTACTTGTTGCCAGAGTGCTGACAGGTTCCTCAGAAACATCCACGAGAGGACCTGGCCCTGCCTCACCAGGAACAGCCACTATCCAAAATTTGATTTATAATAGTGGGACACAAAACAGTCACTGGAGCAGATCAGGGTCCACCTCGTCCTGGCAAACCTGGGCCAGGTCATGGCCAGAGCAGAGCTGCGTGGACAAAGCAGAGACGGCAGCACAGTGACCTCCTTTCACCCACCCTTCTGCTCCCTGCAGCACAGCCCTGGGACTTCCTGAGCCAGTGGTGGCAGCCCCAGCTTCTTGCTGTCCCCATATCATTCATCTGAGCTCTGCCGCCCAAAATATCCTACAGTGATTTCCACAGCTAATCTAGGCTGCCTCCGAGTACGCCTCTAGCCAGATCAATGTCAGACCTGCCTGTCTCTGTGCTCTGAGGCACAGTAATGGTGCTCCAACACCACCAAACTCATCACATCTTCTCAAAACTCACCCCACTCACACTGCCCCAGGACCACCCGCCAGGCACTGCAGGGGCCCCAGCAGACATCTTGCTGCCACTCCAGGGAGCAGCTGGGGTGCCCACCACTTGTTTCACTGCGTGTTATCTTATCGCCATAGGAAAGGCAATACAGCAGAAGAATTTCCTCTCCTTTATCTTTCCAGCCTTTCCATTGTCTGGTGTCTGGAGTTCTGAGCCTCGCCACTCAGCAATTCACACAGGCCCTTGGAAACCTGGTGGCAGAGTTCTTATCAGCCTGAGCTCTGCAAAGTCTCCTTCTGCCATGGCAGGGTCTGGCCTCCCAGTGTCCCATCCTTACTTTGCAGCACATTTCCCACTGCCCAAGAGAGGTGCCAGCTCTGCTCCTCACTTGTGCAGTGCAAAGCAGCATAGAGCTACACAGGCCCCCATCCCAGATCCTCTGCAGCTCTGACACAGCTCAGGCCAAGCACCCGTCACCTCCCACCCAGCTGCAGGGCCAGGGCAGCAGGGCACTGCCCACAGCTTTGAAAGCTTCAGACAAAGCAGTACTTTGTGTGTCACAAATACATCAGCGTGGGCTGCGAGGGCCCCAGGATGCCACACACTGCAGCTGCAGCCTCAGCAGCATGCAGGTGGCCCATGGCACTTGCACATGCCCAATGCTGTAACGCAGCCTGGCTGCTCCCTCGCCATGACTGCAACCCACAATGCTACAGCTTCTTCTGGTCCACACCACACATCTTATGAGGCACCAACTCACCCTAGAGAGGAAGGTGCCTAGGCACAGTCCCTTTTTCAAATCCCAACTGGTAAGGGAAAGCCATTCCACACCCATGTTCAAAGGAGGGCACAAGCAGTCAGTGCTGGACAAGAGCCGCTTCTTCCCATAAAAAAAAGGAACTGGCTGGAATTGAAACTAAAATTTGTATATTTCTCCTTAGCAATGCAAGCAAAGCTCAAAGCAGAACTAATTTAGGTTTCGATCCTTCTTGTGCACTCCCTCGTCCTCGGGCAACGTGAGGGAAGGGCTGAGGAGCCCAGGAAGTGCTGGCTGAGTGAAACTTAGGGTGTTTAACAGAGGGACTGCCTGGTTTCCCTGGGACCCGTGCAGTGGCATTTCGTGAGCATCATCCTGCACTGCCAGAAGCACAGCCACTAAGCCAGGACAGTCTTGCCCTCAGTGCTCTTCCCTTGGGGACATATCACCTTTTGGAGTGGCCCAACACAGACCCTCCCCACCCACCAGACCCTGGCAGTGATCATGGCCTCTGTTATCCCTGCATGCCCAGGTGAGCAGATCCCCAAAGCTGCCTGGGCCAGAAGCTGCTGCCAGGAGTACGAGGACAACCAGCTGTGAGGCAGGAGGGCTGCTCTGCAGGGACTTCCAGTTGCCCTCTTCTTGCAGCAACAGAAGCCTGGCTGGGCTGTGGAATTGCCCACTGGGACATAACATTTCTGTTTCTTCGTCACAAATGTTACGACACCAAAGTGACAAAAGTGCAGGGGGACATGGCTAGCTCAATGCAACAGCCCAAAGCCAGGTTTGCTCCCCACAGCAAGCACAGACCTTCCACACCAACACCATCCCAGGGACAGGCCCTTTTGCATAGTCACAAAGAATCAGTGGGACAGAGTTCCTCTGACTCAGGAGCAGCTTTTCTTTTCCTCACCCTCACAGTGACCTCCTTTTGTGTCCCAGGATGTCGGACACTTCTTGTCTCTGGCTGGGCAAGGTCGTCCCCTAACGGCAGCAAAGGGGATTTCAGCATCCTCCAGAGAAATACTAAGCATTAATGGGCAGTGCTAAGACTGTACAGCTGTACAGCACTCGCCCAGGGTCCCAACTTCTGGTCCTCTCATCCAGGAGCAAACAGGCACTGAAGTGCTGGCACACCTCCTGTGCTTTCTCTCTCTATCTTGAGTTCCCCACCACATCCCAAACCAACCCTTCAAGTAGCAGCACGACAGGCAATATTAGCAAGCAAAATAAGCCACTAGCAAGCAAAGCAAGCCCCTAAGAGGGGAGAGAAAGCTCTGGGTGCTGTTATACTGCAAACTCACAGCTGTAGCTGGTCACAGCCCGCATGCTCCCTCCATGTGAGCAAATGGCACTCAAAAATGGAAATTTGATGCCTACAGAAAGCACTGAGAGAGGCAGAAAGAGGCTCACCCAGCAGGTGGCTGCAGCAAGGCACAATGCCTGCTTTGTGCTGTCTGGTGGCAGCAGCAAATTTTGCGCTGCCTCATGCCTGGCAGCTGCTCGGGGATGCCATGCTGAGCTGTCAGCACTGCTGGCCCAGCATCCCCCAGCAAGGGTAAGGCAGGGCAGATGTGGCTCATCAACAGACCAAACCACCACAGGAAAGCATTAAAGCACTAACTGAGCCACAGTCCTTGCCTATTATTTAGTTTGCCTACTGCTCAATAGCAGCATAAAACATTAACAAGCTTTTGGGTCCAGAACTCTTGTTTTTAGTCCTTCCTCTATTGAAGCAAAAGCCTTTTAGCACAGCAAGCAGCTGTCTGCATGTAACACACTTCAGCAAACACTGCTGGCTCAGATTTATGCTGTCCTCCATTCACTCATGCAGATACCACAAGTGGCTCAGCAGCTTCTGCACCAGAAGGTTTCTGTGAGCAAAAAGCAGAATTTCTCAGGGCCTGCTGCTTTGGATATCAGTCATTCAACAAGATTTGGGATGGCCCATCCAGCAGGGAAGCTCACAGAGACCTAACTATCTTGCTGACAAAGCAATAGAACTCCAAGTATATGCAACGTGAGCTGAGATTTCAAAATGATTTGACAAGAGAGAAGTGGAACAGAAAAAAATACGAAGGGTGCTCCAACGTTAGTGTGATGGATAATATGACAAGTAATAGCTTAAGATAAGGCAAAAAGTAAGGGGCATCTCTGGGCAATTAGGTCCCTGGAATAGCACTGGGCACAAAAAGCACAACCCACTCCTACAGGGGTGGGAAAGTCTGGTAGGAGACCAATTTAGCTGAGGCACATTCTCTTCAGGAATGAAAGGCAAAAATATTCTCCAGAACAGCCAGACATAATAATGTCTTCTGAGAATCCAATGTCCTTTACGGGACATTGACTTAAAATACCATCAACTGTATTCATTCAGTGTAATTATGGCTGGCAGGGAAGTATCTTCCCTTCCAATTATGTAATTAAGAACTTGAATGCAGAGGCTCGAGGGAAAGCAGGAGCCAAGGTGAGAGCTCTGCTGTCAGGGGATCCTTTGCATATACAGTGCAGTGAAATCAGTTACAGAGGACCAGCGCACAAAGGGTCACGAAGGCAAAAGCAGTTTGCTTTCATGACTCACATCTGCTGTGGCTCTACTCAGCAACTGCTTTTGTATCTCCATGATTAAGGCAAAGGAAAAAATTACAAGACAGCATTCCCTTTTTTAGTATCAGAGACCAGCATCCACATCTGTTACTGCGCTTCACCACCTAAAAGCAAAGCCCAGATTGACTCTGTGAGCCTTTCCACTCCTATCATTACTCCATGCTGTAAGAGGAATGAAAAGCACTGACCACATACACAAATATTTTCCAGCAAGGAAAACAAGGAAGCTTAAGTCCAACCCCAAGTAAGCAGAATCTTTTTAGCATCAAATACTAAAGTACATACTGAAATCTGCTGTTAATTATACTTCTGAGATCAGATAACGTATAACAACAGGCAGCAAGACAACATACACAACAATACACAGAGTAAAATCCTCGCCGTGTTTTAGGATAAATGAGCACCAGCAGATTTTTTGCCAGCCACATGGAAAAAGAGTGTTTTAAATTACCACGAGGAAATCACAAAAACAACTGATACCAGCTCAGTGTGAAGGACATAAAGGCAATGCTTCCCTTAAATGGTGTTCCATGCTCTGCTGTAGGCTGGGAAACAGGGAGTGGTTTCAGAGTAGATTTCATGGAATAGGGCTGAGTAGAAAAGGAAAGATGGCAATAAAAATCTTTGAAGTAATTTTTCAACACACTCAAGTGTCCTGTCAAATCAACAAACAAGCTTTGAATGAAGAAAAAAAAAGAAGAAAGAAACCAGGAGATGAGCAATAGCATCTCACAAGGTAACAAATGTCACTCATTAAGATTCAACGGTTTATAAAGATTTTAGTCAGTTTTACATGGCTTGCTTAAGGAAAAAACACTCCTACACAGCTCCATCTGCTTCCATTGAAAGGACATCTCAGCAGTGCCCAAATGCCCGGGCTGGCTCCCAGGTAACACAAATGGCCTGGTCCATTTTTTTCTCTCAGAAAAGATGAGCTCCAAAGTATCAGAGCCCATTCTTATCCCCTGCCCAGGCCAACCCACAGCGCAGAGCTCCCAAGGTGAGTTAGCGATGCCCACTTTAAAACTCTTCCCTTAGTCCACGCCTGCAGGACAGTGACGAGCCTGCCCTGGCAAGGCAGGATATCAGGGCACGGCTAATTCTCCAGATGCTTAGTGATCCTGCGAACTTTCTCCTTCTTGTTCCTGTTGCCATGTTTTTTCCAGGGCTTTCCTACCACACTCCCCGCATTGGGTGCAGGCACAGACACGAGGCCACTGCCAGGCCGGTATCCCATCGTAGCTCGGACGCCTTTCATCAGAGCACGAACGTTCTCCTGGAAAGGGGGACACAGTCACCAGTGACTGATGAGAAGATATGCAATCACAAGGATCTGTCATACATTAATAAAACCAGACACAGGCGAGCTCAAACCCTACAAGACTTGCTCAGTCCCCAGCTGCAGTGCTGCAGGAAAGGTCAAGCCACGCGGCTGAGTGAAGTCTGCCAGTGCTTTCCAGTTCTGCCTGTGGCTGTGCCTCACTGAGCCAGGTCCTCAGTGCTCAGCACCGTGAGCAGAGGCGGAATGTTTACCAGACACAGAGCTCCAACAGACATGAGCTACGGTGCTAAGATCGATTCTCACAGTCTCTGCTTTGCACACAACACATTGTCTTTACAAACAAATCTGGCGTCTGTGAAAGCCAGAGACTAAAATAACTTGCTCAAGTCTGTAGTGTGGGTAGCACTGCTGGGGCTCACAGCCAGACGTGCCAGCACTTTGGCCAGACAGAGGAAGAGTCTGGTAATCCCAAAAATTCTTTTCAGGTCACAGCTTTCTGAAAAGCTGTTTTTGAAAAGAGTCTTAAGTTCTTGGTTTCAAAATGCATGACTATCATTAGCAGTGCTGTAACAAACGCTGTTCATACCCAGCTAATCAAGCAGAACGGATCACACTGTCTGAAACATCCTCATCACTGCTAAACGCTCCACTCTGATCTTTATAAGGTATGCAGACTTCAGTTATGGATTTGACATTTAATTCCGAGTCATTAATAATTCTTTTCAGTAGTGCAAGGGCAAAATGGATCCCTGTGGGACCTAACAAGAACCACACCAGAGAAACTTCCATCTTCCACCTCACTTTCAGATTTTTTATCTAGATTTTAACTCAGATTCCATGTTCTTTTCATCCGATCTCAGGTTCTGAATCAAAACGACCACACAGTACTAAGTCAATTTGCCTTAAAGAAGCTTATTATGTCCCTTAAATAAGAGATTTCAAGAAAGTAAAGTTAGCTTGGAGGACCAGACAGTCCAAAACCACATTGTTGGTTACTGTGTCCTTTCTTTGCCCTTCTCATGTTTGCTCAAGATTGATGTTAGGCCCATAACAACAAGGGCAACCCTGCTACCCTTTTAAAACGAACTTCTGTGTACCTCATTAGCTGTCTTTCAGTCACCTAGGACATTCCTAGTGATTTACAAGACAATAAAAAGAACAAAGAGATATTGATTGGGTAGAAGTTATGTGCAGAGCTGGTAGCATGAAAGAGCATCAACTTAACTCAGTAAGCCTTCACCCTCAAAACCAGTATCTGTAACATATCAATGCTGCTGTAATAACTCCTAAAAAAATCCCTCCCCAGGTTTACCTGGTGGAAAAATGATTTGTCCACTACATTTTCAATTTGTTTTGCTTTGGTATTGTTTTTAGGCTTCTCTGGTCCACTGGCTTGGACAGTTCTGCTCTCTGGACACCTTTCATGCTGGTGCTGAAAACCATCCGGATCAATGCCAGGAGGTGGATGGCAGTATAACAGCTTCCCCTGTGGAAATAATGGTACAGAGTTAACAAAAAAAAAAGAACAACTCCACAGCTAAGAAGGGCCCTGGAACTTCAAGGGACTCATGCTGGCAGACTGTCAGCACATCTGGTCTCTTTGCCCAGGCATCTATTGGCTCAAGTTTTAAGTTAAAGCATCATTCTAATCCAAAGCACAACCTTCAGCTGTTTCAGCTGCAACACCCAGCTTCAGACAATACAGTACAAGTTTCTCTGAGGAGTACTGGAGGATCCTATTAAAAAATACTCAACAATAAATTGCTGACAGGTGCTATAGAAGCATGCAGTACTACAACACTCAGAACTGCAGTCTTCTGCTATACAAATACTGACTCAACCAAACAAAATGGTTTCACTTCCTGAAGAGATTCTATCTGCTTTAAAAAGATGATGATTCCATTTATTTAAAACATAAAAATAGCCTGATTTAAAGCATATTTTGATGTACATCAATTTTATCCAAAAGGAATTCACTTTATTGTGACCCCTCATGCTCCAGTAAAAGTTTCAGTTCACCTCCCAGCAGGAAAGAAAACCCAAATGTAGTAAGAACTTACACTGACATAGTCTTTTAGCACATATCGAGCTGATCTCGGCTGGTCTGGCTGACCATGGGCTGTCATAAAGCCTCTCATATCTGCAAGACAGAAAAATGCCACCAGGGAACCTGCTGTTTTATCATTTTTGTTTTAGGGCCACAGAAGATTAACTGCATCAAAGAATCAGACAAGGTAGATAAGCCTTCACTGCATTCTTCAATCTAATTCAAGATGCAGCTGATGGGAAGTATCTAAAACAATGAAGTATCTAAAACAATGTACCAAAGAACAACTTGAAGGACACAGCATCATACTTGAGACTGGCAGGACATTTCATGAACCAACACAACACAGTCACTACATCTGTTGGATGAAATTGGCAAAGCACCATTATAACACATGAGACCAGCTGTTAACAGAGGCTCTTTGTGGGAGGAGGGTAAGTCCTTTTGGGAAGCTCAGTGCATAACAAACCTGACGTTAAAATCTTCTAAGGCTGTTTTTCAGGACCACGCACATAGTACACGAGACAGGTTTTAAAGGGATCATCACTCACATCCATATGCTGTTAGAAGCTCTTCAGCTGTTGGCTTTCGATCTGGATCCTCATCTTCCCTTGGCCTTATGATATTTATTCCATAGGTTGCTTCCAAAATGTTTCGTGGGATATGCTGGCAAACATAAACTAGTGAAGGAAACCACCTTGTGATTTTCAGCTACAAAAGTAATCTCTGCCCAAGTCACTCTGAGAGCACGGGTAAAAATTGCTTGGGATCTTGTTGCAAACCAGAAAAGCAAGTCTGATAAAAGGATAAACAGAATAAACTTAAAATGAGACAACAAAAGACAAACACAGCAGGGCTGTTTTACATAACATGCATCCCCATTGGTCTCAATGCATGAACACACATACACCTAGAAGGGCTGTAACATGCTACATCCCATATTCCAGATCCTCTTGCAGCCATTCACACAAACCTCATGCAAAGGATATTAAAGAAATGGGTGGAACATGGTCCCTCATCTGGTCTATAGGTAGAATTCCAGAACAAATCATCTCTGCTTTGGTGGAGACGAAAGATGGCATCACCAGACCAGGGCAATCACAGAGGCACAGGCCAGGCTCCACATACAGAGTCTACACAACAAATAAGCAATGAGTCCACCAAGGCAAGTCAGTGTCCATGGAGGAAAAAGGAACAAGAGATCAAATGCACTCATGAAACAGAGATGCAAATGAGAATAAGCAGAAACTTTACTAACACAGATGTCTGCCCTGCAGGCCCCAGACAGTGAATTAAGAAAATCCTATGCAGAACACAGCAGCACTTCCAAGGTTCCTAAACAAGGTGCCCAAATCTGGGTAGACAGATCTCCAGCTCACCAGTCTGATGGGCCACTGTCAGAGGAGAAAGCAATCCAGAAATCTTTAGCTGTGGACATTTTGACATCAGTGGCCGACTGCAGAAGTACAAATGTCACAATGTCTATCATCGGAGCTGCCAATTCAAAATTATGTGCTTGGTTAATATGAAGAAGGCAGCGTAACTCAGCATGCTCACAGCAGTAAGGAAGGACAAGAAGGGATGGTTTGAAGCTTGACATTCAGCTATTTACAGGAGCATTTAGTTTTAGGAGGTTAAGCTACCTAAATAAGATGTGGAAAATATCTCCATGGCACAGCTGCTCTCTTGAGACACTCTCAAAGCAGAGCAAGAGTATAGAAGTAAGGCCTGAGGTTGCAAAATGATATAAATTGAGACCACCCTCTCTAACCTAAACTCTGGTGGACAGAGATCAGACTGGCAGAAAGAGTTCTCAGTAAGTTCATGTGGTAATTAATATTCATTATGATGTTCTCTTCTACCATAGAACTAAACAAATACAGCAAAGCTCTTTGTCAGCAGTACCTGGAAGTGCTTCGTGCGGCCTGGTGTTGCAGACACTGACACCTTCTTATCTCCAAGAATTGTGTTGATTGTTGAACTTTTGCCAACGTTAGGGTAACCCACCTAGATGACAAGTGAAGGGTAACAGTGATACTAGGCAGGATCGTGCTCAGACACAAAAGCATTTTAATAAGTACTGAAAATATAGGCAAGCAGTGTGGAATATTGCATTCCAGCAACTTCAGAATTAATCTTTCCACAAAACCCTTAGTGATTTACACTTGCTAGCTTTCCACCCTTACATCGAGCCAGGCTACAGCATGACTGCTCCCCTTGAAAGTTGTACGGATTTAAAACTTAAGATTTAGCCAGTCCCATTTTAAGCATGAGGCCCAACTCACCAGTCCAACATTTACTTCCCCATCCTTCACCCTTGGTCCACTGTGCAGGGTTTTGAATATCTCCAGTAGCTCATTTCTCTGTACCAGATGGCTAAAGTTCTTGACATTCCTGTTCTGCTCTTGCACTACATGCTGCACTGCAACAATATCAGTTGTGCTTTCCATACTCTTTGGGGCAATAGCATTTACTTTGTCCCCACCTTCATCTTCAGAACAGGTTTGCCAGTCATCCTCTTCATCATCCTCACAGTCTTCATATTCATCACTACTGTCATTGTCACAAAGCAAACACTGGTTTTCAGTTTGCAAAGCACTGCCTGTGGATGTGCTTTCTGCACTATCTTCTGCAGTGACATCATCTTCTTGACTGGAACTTTCCTCCTCAGAATCACTCAGGTCATCTGCTACACTGTCAGCATCCAGTTCCTGTGTAAACAGTATTTCATAGGTGAAAGTTAAATAGTGCACACAGAGTGCAGCTGTTCACTGCACTTGCTGCAGCATAAGTCAATCATCTTTTTGTCATTCAGATCGCAAGGGCTGGCAATTAACTCCTAATGTTGCATTAGGGGATTTAAGGGACTGAAGTAGGATGTACCAACAACTAGTCCATGTTAGGAGACTGAAAAAAAATATTCCAAGGGGTACTGTTAGCATTGTTGGGAAGTTATTAGAGGTCTCTGTCTTCAGGAGCACAACTGTGCTGTGTGTGCTTGTTGCTCACACTGTATCTTTACATACAGCAGCAGCTGTAGGCATCCAAGACCAGGATGACCAGGGCTCTGGGCAGCCTGAGCTGGTGGGGGGCAGCCATCCCACGGCAGGGGGTGTAACTAGGTGATCTTTATGGTCTCTTCCAACTCAAGCCATTTCACGACGGTTACGATGACTAAAAGGTGCTCCAGTTTGTTCTCCATTTTACCCTCCCCACTTTTGCCCCCAAATCAATTATTAAAATGCTGTTTTACAGCCACGCAGGTCATGAGAGAAATCCTACCCTGAGACCGTGCCTTTCCTAGAGAGGAGCTTAGATATGCCAGAGATGCAAAACAAGTTACTGGTGGCAGCCAGCACACGCCTGGTTTGAACTGCTCACCCACCTTTACTTCTCCAGAAAGCCGCCTGCACTCTGCCAACGCCGACCAGAACACCACTTTAACTCCCTCCTTCTCAAAGAACTTTGCCCAGGCAGCCCGCTGCTCTTCACTCAGCAAATCCGCTTTGTTTATCAGGATCATGTTCTCCTTGTCATTGCTGACTTCCTTAACATAACTTTCCTGGAGAAAACAAGGGAAAAATAAGCTTTCAACTCCTCACCCAGGGTAACAGAAAAGCAGCAGGACAAGTTACACCATCCAGCTCCGTGCGAGTGCATTTAGATTTACTGTCTCTCTCAGGCTAGATGGATCTGGTGTTGTGCAGACAGCTACAAGCACAAAATTGAAGCACTCAACTACTGCAAAACACGCTGTTCCCGGCCACAAGCGCCAACATCTCGTCTACTTAGACTGGTGGCAAGTCATTAGCCAGCACATCACAGCAGGGACTCCTAAGAGCAGTTGTTTGAGCAATCCTATATTGCAGTGACGTGGCATTGTACAGATTTTCATTACAAAGTTGTCCCTTCAATAACTTTTAATCCTTTTTTCATTGCGGTGATAACTACCATTTTTATTCCATCTCACTGCTCATTTCATCACCCACAGCACAAAGCTTAAAAGTGAGGTGATTAAGCATGGGCACTTCTAATGAGTAAGGAGGAGCAATATGATATCTGCAATGTCATGCCTGCAGAAAAAGAACTTAAAAATAATTTGATGCTAGAACACTTGCTGAAGATATTCACTTAAGCACAAAAGTAGAACAGCTTCACGGTGCTACGCGGCTTAACGTATAAAAAAATAAATCACATGCATAAGCGCTCAGAAATTAAAATGAAAATGATCAGGAAGATGGTTTACTTACCAGATCTTGGCATCTAAACAGAAGGGGGTTTCTAGCATCCACAATCTGGACAACAATATCACTAAAAAAAATAAAAAGAACACTGAAATACTCCTCTTTATACTGTCGCAAAGAAAGAAAGAATGCTTTACTCGCTTTCAGACTTTGCTATGAATTTCACTTATTTGAATTGCATTAACCTATTAAATACCTTTACTGAATTAACAACGCATCTTAGCATTCCACATGCCCCAAAAGGATGTTTATGTCACTAGCTAATACTGCTATACAGTGCTTGTCTCACTCAGCTAGTTCTCCTTGTAAGCAAAGGGAAAGCAAGTACGCTGATTCTATTTGTCTCATGATTCTACTTGCTCATTTCTGTTATGTCAGGACAGCTTCAGAACACAGCTGGTTGAATGGGGGAATTAAGTCCCTAATCACCATGCAGTTGGATAAAAGAAATAAAACAATCCCTCCAACCCCAAGGGAGTCATCAAATAAGTTACATGGGTACAAAAAAGTACTGAAGAGAGACTGGAAGAAAGCTGACACTATGTACTCTGATAGGATACAGAAAATTGTTCAATCACACAGCTGGGTGACAAGAAAAGACTGACAAGCAATCATATTTAGCCAGCAAGGTGAGAGATTGGAAGACTTTCCCACTAAGTTCTAAGATGGCACACATACTCCCCCTACCCTAAATAAAATATCACAATAGGAGCAGAAAGGCATTCATAACACACTGCAGCCACCTCAGGATACACACTCGCAGTGCACACGGCGATGCACTGCAGCAGATGCTCCCAACCCAGGTCTCACACTCTTAGAGCCCCAGTGGAACCCAGTACAAAGCCACTTCTGTGAAAGGATAAGCTCTCCATGACCTCACTGCTGAAGTATTTTTCAATTTTAAGAAAATCAGAAGGGATGCTCTCAAACTTAATTACTGGTGAAATTAAATGCCTCCATCAGATTAACTTAGGAGATAGCGCTCCTATTGTATTCCAGCTCTGCAGAGCAAACAAAGCTATTTCTGTGATGACAGGCTGTTCTCTTTTGTGTACTGTTGCAGTTTCTCTACACGACAAGAAGCCAAAGAGCAAAAGGCTCTTTCTTTCCAAATGCTACTTAGTTGTTCTTCCTTGTCTCTCAGCCCTGGGAGTTGGGATATAGCTGTGTGGTTGAGAGAGGGGGGCAAGGGTTAATCTTGGCAAGAGACCTCAAAGAAACATCCTCAAAAGATGCCTCCCACGTGGTTACAGAAAAGGCCAGGGGCAGCAGCATCTGACTGACCCTCAGAGACTCACAACAGACTGCAGAGTTGCCATGCTGAGACCCAACATGCACCACAATCAGCTGCTCCTCCTGCCATCAACTTTTGATCACTTCAAAGCAAAATCGCTTTAGAGCTGATAATGAAATACTACTTACTGTAATTGCATTTCCTGTGCTCAGACACCTGATATTTGATTCAAAGGCTTCAATTCAGTGAAAAAAAAAAGAACAATACATAACAGTTTTAAAAAGCAAATAGTTTTGTTTGTTTGTTTGTTTTTTTACCTTCTTTCAATGACTCTCCAAAGCTGACGCCAAAATTCCAAGTTTCTTTCAAATGGGGTTAGAATTAACTTTTTTTCTTCCTCAAGGCTATGGCAAAACAGAGAAAAGACATCACATTTGGCTTATGACAGGCAATGAGCACAACACCAATTCCTCCTTAGAGTCAGGAGGCTTTAGCTGCAGAGAGCAATAATAACCAGAGTTGAGCAGTGGGTACTATTTCTGCTAGCAGAACATTGGTTCAACAGGTACACAATGGCTCCAGACTGTAAGAAGGGAGAAGCAGTAAACTGTGGAAAGCACAAAAACATGCAAAAAGAATGCTTGTGACATCTCAGAGCCACCAAGTTTCACCTTTGAGAAAATAATGTATTTTGGAACAGTACTTGTCTATGCAATCTTTAACTCACTGTTACTAGAGCATGAGTGACTTTGCTCAGGGTAAAGTGGGTTCATCGTGTGCATGCAATAACACAACCCAACCTGCCAAGCCAGCCAAGACAGCACGAGAGCAGCACAATCTGCTCTAGACAGGGCTGGCAGCACCATGCTACAGAAATTCAGGGCAGAAACAAGAAACATCTTAAACAAGATGTTCTTCGCTCCACAGGCAAGAGCAGAACACAACGCTCCATTGTGAACATCAAGGAATCACAGGGACAAAGTTCAACGAAGTATTTTAACAAACCAGATAACAGAATCTGGAAAACAGGAAGCAGCAAATATGGGTATGCACTACAAGAATCTTGGATATACTCAGTATAAGAACATGCATACAGAAGGGAACTACACAGAGCTCATGATAAAGATGTGCCTGAGCTGTGGCTGGGATGTCCAGACTTCAAGAATAAGTGCAGAATGCCACTGAGAATAAGTCATTTTTAGAAGTCTAGCAAGGATAAACACAATCCAGCTCTGCCTGTGTCTCAGATTCCAAACAGCTCATTTGCCACAAGCACAGCAGCATACTCACTAGGCAAGCTGTCGCCTCCACTCAAGAAAGCTCTCTCTCTCAGCTTGCTTCAAGTCTTCAGAACTGGTTGTCCTATCCCAATATGGCCTGCAACGAGCACATTTTGGAGTGAATGGTCAGTTTTAGCAGTTATACTACATACATTACTGCAGTATACATTCCTGAAGAACACAGGCACCACGCACTCACCTACACTGACATGGCTGCAGTTCACACATGCACACATCTCTTTCATGCAGCTTCAGGTACTCCTCCATTTCCTTATTCCCTCTAAATCCCACCAGCTAACACAACAGATCTCACAAGACTGGTTTTTGCAGCTAACATTTGCAGGGTGTTCAATCAGGGTCCACCACACACAGAGAATCACAGAATCATCTGAGTTGGAAGTGACCTTTAAAAGTCACCTAAGTCCAACCCCCCTGCAATGAACAAAGACACCTACATCTCCATCAGGTGCTAAGAGCCATCCAGCCTGACCTTGAGTGTCTCCAGGGATGGGGTACCACCACCTCTCTAGGCAACCTGGGCCAGCACTAACCTTAATGCAAGAAAACTTTTTCTTATACCCGACATAAATCTTTTCACCCCTATTTTGCAACTATTACCCTTGGTCCTATTCACAACAGACCCTGCTGAAAAGTCTGACCCCTTCCTTCTTACAGACCCCCTCCAGATACTGAAAGGCCACTCCCAGGTCTCCCTGTAGTCTTCTCTTCACCAGGCTGCACAGCCCCAGCTCTCTCAGCCTGTCCTCGCAGGGAGGCGTTCCATCCCCTGGATCATTTTTGTGGCTCTCTTCTCTGTGGATGCACTCCAACAGGTCCATGTTATCTCCTACACTGAAGACTCCACATCTGGGCACAGTACTCCAGGTGAGGTCTCACCAGCACAGAACAGAAGGGCAGAACCTCCCTTGACCTGCTGGCCACAGTTCTTTTGATGCAGTCCAGGATACAGTGGGCATTCTTGGGTGCAAGAGTTCTAGAAAGGTTTGCTAGGTGGGGACAGCCTGCAGCTCCATCAGTGCCAGGCTTTGAGCTGTAAACACATCCAATCAGAGCAGACATGCTGGCAATGGCAGCATCTGCAGGCAGCTGCACTGCCACTTACAGCAGGTTCGTGTAGGTCAGCAATAAGTTCAGAGTACCGGTGAAACAACGCGCCATCCCCAGGCCTGCAGCTCAGCCTACCGCACAGCGTAGTGTTGGCCCAACCCTGCAGGACCCACCTCCGAGGGATGCGCAGGAACTGCCGGTTCTCCTCATGCAGCTGCCGGACGTGCTGGGCCTCCTGGGCCGTGAGCAGGCCAGTGCGGCTCTGGGCAGACACAAACTGGATGTTCAGGCGCTCTGTGTAGCCGGTGGGAGAGACCATGGCAGCGTCACCCCGAGCCAGCTGCCCGCCGCCACCACGCCACCACTCCCGCCCCTTCTGACCCTTCTCCGGCTCCGGACCCCACGGCCCGCCCCTGCGCCCAGCCCCGCTCCCCTCCCCGGCCACCTCCTGGGCCCCCGAGCCCCTCACCGGCCACGAAGCGAGTGCCGGCGAGCTCCGCCGTGGCCAGGAACTCCTCCAGCGGACTCTGCTCCACCGCCGAGCGCCGCTCCGGGCCGCTCTCGCCCACCACCTCGCTGGCGTGCAGCTGCCGAGACAGAAGCCGCCTTTACCTCGTGAATGCCGGCTCCCCGAACCCCCCTCCGCACCCCGGCCCCTACCCATGACGCGGCGCCGCGCCGCTCCGAGCCGCGCTGCCGCTGCAAAGAGCGGCCCAACCCCGCGCCCCGCTTCCTGCCCATGCGGCCCGCTGGACCCGGAAGTGCGGCCGCCCTGCTTCCTGTGCCCCACCCACAGCGCTCCGCCGCTCCCCGCCGCCCCGGAGCCGCGTTCCGGGCGCTGAGGTTCCGGACGTCTCCGCACCGCCGCCGGGGGGCGCGGAGGCTCTGAGCCCGGCCGTGTGCGCGGCGCTCCGCCTCGAGAAGTTCGCCTTCGTTCGTGCCCGGCCGCCCCGCCGCCCGCGCCGCCCCGGAGCGAAACCGCTGTTCGGGTTCTTCATGCAAATCCCGGGAGTCGTTCAGCAACAGCTGCTCGTTTCCAAGCGCGGTGACACCAGCGCGTTTTGCCTCAAGGGAACATTGTTCTTTCTGGGCAGCTTCTCCTCCGTTTTGCTCCCAGGCAGCCCTGGGAGAGCTCAGGACTGTGTCCGAAACATTCATGTGACGGCCATTCATTATTCATGCAGTTTCACAACGCTCCTTTCAGCGGTGTCACCAGCCCCAGCCCCACGAGCAGATATGACACGACCCCCCCCCCAGTGACACGAAGACAATTCCGCTCTGTGTGGGGCTGCATCTGCCAGCGCCCCCCTTGTCCTCAGCTGCATCCCAGCCCAGGCAGCGCGGCCGGGTGGTGGCCTCACCCAGCGGGTCCAGAGCACAGCTGGGACAGAGAGCCCTGGTGTTGGCAGAGGAGCCACACGATGTTGGCCATCCGCCCAACGCCCTGGGGTCACAGCGCTCAGGGAGCCTTTGGGAACGGGCTCGCTCCTCTCTGGAGCAGCAGCACCGCAGGGAGCTGTGCGCTGCAGGCTGGGCTCCGGGATGGCAGTGGCCTCGCTGCAGCCTTCGGGTGAGTTGTTTAGACTGCACGTATTCCACAGCCGCAGATACAGTCCTTCCTGGTGCAGTGCGGGAAGGTCAACCACACGGCTGTGTGTTGCTGCGGGCAGGAAGATGCCGGGGTGGCTGCTGCTCTCCACTGCTGCCCGCTGCACGTCTGGCAGAGGACGCTGCCCCGATGCCGCTCTGCCCCTCGGCTGCAGGGGGAGGATCGTGCCCGGTATAGCGCCGTGATCATCCCCAGAGACTAAGGGAGGGTTTGCACCCCGTTCCCCACTGCCTAATAATAGCAGCAGGAAGCGCCGGGGCCGCCCGTGCAGGAAGTAGGGTGTGCCTGCCCTGGGTGGCTGAAAAACAACTGCAGCAAGAGGTGTGTCAGTGTGCGAGGGGACACACGGCTGTCACTGCATGGCCCTCACTCCCTCCCGGCATGGCTCGTTCCATACTCCGGTCCATGGGTGATGCTGCCCTTTGGCACTCATGCAGGTTGGCAGGAGGTGTCAGTTAAAGGCATTAATGACCTTTTCCTTGAAAGCAGAGCATACCTCATGCTCTCTGTCCCCTGCTTGACTGGCACACCTCGGGCTGCCTGAGCACCCAGCAGATAGACGAGGCCAGAGGAGCAGTGTTGGCACAGGGAATGCAGCACCCATCCTGCCCCTGGGCCTGGGACCCACTCTGGCTTTCCATTTAATGAGAAATCCTGACACTTCCTTTGTCTTACTTGAAGCTGAAACTTCAATTTATCACAATTACAGATCCACTACACCACTTTATTTTGGAAAAATACCAAAATCCCCTGTTTGAAATGCTTCATTCTGTCTGTCTGTCTGCTGCTGCAGCAAGATAAGAAACACTGCTACCCAGGCTGTGCTCATAGCTCACACACTCACACAATCAATAGATCCCCATGCATGTGGCCTCACTGCATCCACTTTTCCCACAGGTGCACTGCCTTGGCAGAAGCATCACATTTCTGCTGCTCTCCCCAAAGCTATGTAGACCCTCACCCCAGATCCAGCAGTGGGGCACCAATGTCAGGAACGTGGTCCAGCAGCAGTGAGGAGGAGGAGGTGGAGCAGGGCAGGAAGGCAGAGCGCTGCCAAGAGCCATGCGCAGCACTGCGTGCAAGGAAGGCCGGGTTGCTCAGGAGAGATTGTATCTCACAGACTTTCCCACGCCACTGAAAAGCTCTCCAGGCGGGTGCACAGGGGCAGGTGATGCTCAGTAGCTGCTGGTGTGTGACACAAGTAGGGAGCAGGCTGCTCTCCTCCCCGTGGGTGACAGGGCTGTGCATGCCCTGCAGAGTGCTGTGCTGCTGTCCTCACAGCGTCGGCTCCAGGATGGGAAATGAAGCAGAAAGAGACCGCCGTTGGGAGCATTAACAGAGCAAGGGGGCTGCAGTGGTGTGGCACAGCAAGTGGAGAGGAAGTCTAGTGAGGAATTGAGTGGAGATACTTTCCATCCCCAATCAGCCCTAAACCACAAGGCACCAACCTGCAGCTGGGCCTGCAGCTGGGCCACAGGCAGCTGTGCTTGGGCTGCTCTCTGCCCAGCACTGGCTGTAACCAAACCCCCAGCCCAAGCAGGCAGTGCAGAATGGAGATGCCAAGCACAGAGTTCACGTGTCACCCTACGCCCTCGGATGTGCCGTGTTTTCAGAAGGACTCCTACTGTGCTGATGCATGTGGCAGCACCAGCTGCTTGCAGCCCTGAGATTGTGGTCATCCCATGCACTGCTCACAGCCAGACATGGATTTTCTAATGCTGCAAGATGCTACGCCAGGCCTCCCTAAGACAGGAAATGCCCCGCACTGCGGGCACACATCCAGCAGTGTCTCTGGAAGCACAGACACAGGTGTCCCCTACAGTGCTTTGGGGCCGTGCTCACAGAGCTGCTCTTGGTGCAGGGCTGTGTCTGAGATGGAAGCAAACAGCAACGCTGTAGTTAATGTGGCATCGGGTGCTGCGGAGACATGCAGTTCCCGAGGAACCTGCTAGATGGCATAATGTCATGATAATAAATAATATCATTTTATTGCAATTGATCCGGACTTTATAAATGATGTGGGGAACAAGTAAGTGTACTTTTGTACCTCTTACTGCACTAAGAAGCACTGCTCCCATTCTGCAGAGCATTCATTCAAATGTGACAAAGTGCCACTCTCACTCTCTGCAGCTCCAGAACGGGCACCTTTTCTGACAGAGGATGCGATACACGGCCCGAGGAGCTCCACCACGACCCGGAGAGCAGCTTCCCACAGCCCTCATAACGTACGTGAGCGTGTTCACATAACCTCAGCCAGAAGCTGCCAGGGAGCTGCTCGTGTTCCACCGCTGCACACCAACAGCGCGAAGCATTACTCATCCGTAACAGCCGGGCTTCGCTGCAGGCACCGCGGCTGGACTCACCGAACCGGAGGGAACGCGGTGTCGCAAGAGCGGGGCCGGCAGCGCACGCTCACGCGTGGACGGGCGGCAGGGCGGGACGCGGCGGAACGGTCCCGGCTCCCCCCGGCTCCCGCCCCGACTCCGGGCGGGGCCGACACCGCCCTCTGCCCGCCTCTCGGCGGGGCCGGGCCCGGGGCTCCGCGGCGGGCGGCGCAGAGCAGCGGCAGCGGGCGGGCGACGAGCAGTGCGGCGGCAGCTCCGCGGGCCGCGGGCGCTCCGCCCTCGGTGCGCGGGGCCTCCCCTCTCCGCGCCCGCGGAGCGCCGGCGCCCGCCTATATCTACGGCGCTGCGGCCCGACGCCCGCAAGGATGTGAGGCGGACGGGCAGCGCAGCCGCCGCCGCCGCCGCCGCCGCCGCCGTGGCATGCGCTCCCCCGGCAGGAGCCGTCGGCGCGGCGCGTAGCCGCGGCTTCGCGGGGCGATGCTGCCCTGGAAGCGGAGCAAGGTGGAGCTGGTCGCGGGCGAGGCGCGGCGGCAGAGCAAGCCTAAGGGCTACGCGGTGAGCGTGCACTACTCGGCGCTCACCTCGCTGGCCCGCGCCTGCCCCGAGAGCGCGCTGCACCGCGTGGGCAGCATGTTCCGCTCCAAGCGGCGGAAATTCCGCGTGACCAGCGAGGACCCCACGTACACCGTGCTCTACCTGGGCAACGCCACCACCATCCAGTCCAAGGGCGAGGGCTGCACCGACCTGGCCGTTTGCAAGATCTGGAGTAAGAGCGAAGCGGGTCGCCAGGGCACCAAGATGAAGCTGACCATCAGCGCGCAGGGCATCCGCATGGCCCACGCCGAGGACAAGGGACTGCGGCGGCCCGGACACCTCTACCTGCTGCACCGCGTCACCTACTGCGTGGCCGATCCGCGCCTGCCGCGCGTCTTCGCCTGGATCTACCGACACGAGCTGAAGCACAAGGCGGTGATGCTGCGCTGCCACGCCGTGCTCGTCTCCAAGCCCGAGAAGGCGAAAGCCATGGCCCTGCTGCTCTACCAGACCTCGGCCACGGCGCTGGCCGAGTTCCGCCGCCTGAAAAAGCGGGACGACGCGCGGCACCAGCAGCAGCAGCTGGTGGGCGAGCAGAGCATCCCGCTGGTGCCGCTGCGCAAGCTTCTTAACGGGCAGTGCTGCTACAAGCCACCGGTGGAGCGGAGCCGCAGCGCGCCCAAGCTGGGCTCCATCACAGAGGACCTTCTGGGCGAGGAGCAGGAGGAGCGCGCCATGCACTGCGAATGCGAGGACATCCTGGAGGCGCTGGGCGAGCCCGAGGGCGAGCTGCTGCGTGCCGGCGCCGGCCGCGGGGAGGGCCCGGAGCTGGGCCGGCTGCTGCGCGACCTGGGCGAGCTCAGCCTGGGCAACGACCTGCGCTCGCTGCGCGCCGACCTCGGCGTCCGGCGGCTGCTCTCGGGGGAGAGCACGGGCAGCGAGTCCTCCTTGGAGAGCACCGGCCCCGACGGCGCCGCCCCGCCCTGCAACGGCGCCGAGCAGCCGGCCCAGGGCGACCCGGAGAGCGGATGAGCTCCGGGGAGGGGGCACGGCTCGGCAGCGCTCGGGCCCTTCCTGGAGTGCGCGGTTCCGCCGGGGCGCACCGGCTCCACCCTGGGAGCTCGCGGCCTCACCGGGGAGCTCCGGGTCCCCTCCGCCGGCGGCGCGCGGTCCCTACCGGCAGCCCGCAGCCTCACCGGGGGGGCATCAGATCCCCTCTGCCGGCAGCACGCGGCGCTCCCCGGGAGCGCCCGGTTCCGCTGGGGAGCGCCGGGGACCCTCCGCCGGCACCGCGCGGCCTCACCAGGGAACGTCGGATCCGTTCCGCCGGCAGCGCACGGTCCCTCCGGGAGCGCGCGGCTACTCCGGCTCCTCCCGGTTCCTCCGAGTGCGCCGTGGCCCCGCGGCGCTGCCGTGGCCCGTGGACTGGAGGTGTCTGCGGGCTGTTTACCTCCTTCCCGGCCCTTGAAGATCT